ATCACATCATTAGGATCCAGACCAGGTACACCCCCTGGGGGTTGAGAAGCATACAGTGGCCGATACTTCTTAGCTATGGGACCTGCCTCTAGGAAGGCTCCTTTGACGTCTCCTAGCTGAAGAACCCACTGTCTACTTACGATGACTTGCAACAACAAGGCTCGTGAAAGAGGATGCATGGTCGGACTATGGCAGGCTCCACTAGTGATTTTGTCATGAAAATCAGGGTCCAAGTGTCCTTGAAGACACCAGCGGCTCTTGATTCGAGCTCCATCTTCATCTTGCTTGTTGATCACCACGAAGCGGCTTCCGATAAAACGATCGGGAAACCGACGACGAATTTCTTCTGCTTGTGCTCCTCTCCAGACCCGAACAGCATTCTTACCCTCTAGTGTTTCCCACTCCCCGGTTTTGGATTCATCGATTTTTTGCTGCATGTCAGGTTCATTTCCATAAGCTTTGATTTCTTTCTGTTGACGTTTCTGCAAGAAGGCAGCAGTGAGTGTCTCAATGAAGGTTCGTCCATAGAGCTTGTCGTGTCGGATGACATCGGCAGACAACACTTCACTAAGCAGCATATCATCTTCGTCACCTGTTTTCAGCTTTCGTGGTGGTGGTGAATCAGCTGAGGGAGCTTGACTGGCTTCTCGTTTAGAGCTGGTCCCTCGAGGACTCACTGTGCTTTCTACCTCTGTACTGGGACCATGATCTTGGAGATGCCGTTCTATCAGGGACGGAATCACTTCCTGCATCATTTCGGCAAAATCATCTTGGGCCATGACTGGTGGCCGGCTCAGGTACTGAGGTGGAGATTTCTCGGAGTGCCTAATCCTACGGATGGGTCCATAATCTTCTGTCCGAGACCTGACTGAAGGGACCGGTTCGATCTGTTCACTCGTGTCCATGGGCACGGGTGGAGAGGTCGCATTTACCTGCTCTGGAACTTGGCTTGCTCGAATCTCTGCTGCAGTCAGGGGTTCTTGGGCTCGAATTGCCTGATTGCGGATTTGTTCGAAAGCTTGCTCTGGTTCTGGGGGATTGTCAGAGTTCACTAGATCGACGAATTGACCCTTCGGAAATTGACCCTTCTCCAGGAGGTTCTTAATACCCAGAAGCTCATTTGAGTCGAACTGAGCGACTACTCTCTCTTCATCACTGGCCGGTCTCACCTGTTCGGGGGAACAACGAAACAGACTACGTCTATGAGCAACAATCCAGTTCACTCCCAGTCGACCGAGGACCATTCCGGCACCATGCCATCTACCCCCTTTGATTAGATTACCTTGATCCCATGTCTGTGACCTCCAGTAATATACCCAATCCCCTGACTGAATATCTTTGCGAGGCCGAGGTCGAGCACGGAGCGCCGCCCGGAGGGCGCGATGGTCTTGGCACTGCAGCACCGCGAGACGCGCTTTCTGACGGATATCGTTCGACCGTTGGCTTCCACTGTCCATGAGGATGGCATCTGAGGCCGCTACATGTGGATCTTCTTGGAGGAGATCAGTTGGCACCCTGGGGTCTCGACCGAACACCAGTTGATATGGACTTGCTCCCTGTTCTGTGATGAGGCTATTCTTTGCTACTTGGGTTTGCAGAACACAATCAATGAATTCTTCAGCGGATGTAGGTCGACACTCATCTATGACCTTTTCAAAGATCCTCGCAAACCATTGACCGTGTCTCTCTACCTTTCCTAGTTGCCAATGCGAATCAGCAGCCGTGAACATTTGATCTATACCTAAAGACTCACAAAAGGAACCTAGGGATTCACTCAGATTGGTTTTGGCGGGATCCATCTCTAGCTGCTGAGCCGGACCAGCCCACGATATCCAAGAATCTCGAAGGACTCCTTTCAGCACTTCGGCCGACTCACGCTCAAAGATCGGAGCCATGACTTGAAGTGAGGTCGCATAATCAACGATGCTCACGCATGGCACCAGTTGATTCGGCTTCCATCCAGGCAAATATTTCACATCCATGCCAATACGATCATTGAACGTCCATTGACGTGAGCTCTTTGCTGGCAATGCGCTGGACGGTTGCACGTGATTCTGGCACACTGGGCACGAGAAATCCTGGGCCAGACGGATGGCTGTCTCTGAGGCTTTGCTATGTTTCAGGATACGAACGAGATCTTTATTGCTCGGATGGCCTAGATTAGTGTGTAATCGCTTCAGTGCTCTTTTCACATTCTCATGAGATTCTCCTGACACTGATTGCTCTTCTTCCTCATTGGCTCCAGCCATCTCAGCTGCCACAGGTTCAGCAGCGATGGGTTCCGCTGCAAGACAGGACACATCGAGTTCCGACAGGAGCGCTTCTGTATCCATGCCAGATTGACTGGGTTCTGACGCAAACAGTTTCAGCATGCTCTCAACAAACTGAGTTGTGTATTCGGCGCAAAAGCTACTGACATTCTGCCCTGACCTAAGTTTGCCAGCGATAGGTCTATGCTTGGCGCAACCTGGACATGTTCGGATGTGGCTCAAGTCGCTCTCGGCTGATGTGGACATCAGCAGACCCGTGGGTTTGAGAATGGGCAACTGTGAATCAGGACACTTCAACCCATATGCACACATATCCACTCGCTTGAGTCCATACTTTCGTTTCAGGGGTTTGACCAGGGGTTCTTCCCAAATCTCGGATCCCAGTGGGTGTTCCCAAATGAAATCTCCCCCACGTTTGATCTGCTTATGTACCTGTTGCACACAGAAACGAATTTGCCGACGGGACTTCTGGATCAGGCGAGCTTGTTCTAGTGGAGTGCGAAAGCGTCGGTTGAGGTGGTCCCATCCACCTCGATGCTTGCACTCAGGGCACACAACTAACAATGCTGGTGCAGCCTCATCTAACATTCGATCGACTTTCTCTTGAATTCGTGGATCCTCCAAGTCCCAACCCTGGAGTATGTCGAACGACAGGCCTTCATGTCCCCAACTTTTAGCTACTGTAGCAAATCTTGGGGGTGAGAAAAGCTCAGCGACAAGAATGCGAGACTGCGAGCGAGCTTCGGATCGATTGGTTTGAGCCAACAAACACCGACATTCCTTTTTCTTGAGGGTGATTTTTGTTTTCACACTTCCAGCCTTGGAGTCCAGCTCGATGGACTTTGCTTTCACTTTGGGCTCAATCTGCGGAGTAGCTGCAGGTGCACTAGGCTTGTTGGGCGGATACGAGAGGATGTGAACCAACAGTTGTCCTGCTTCATTGGTGATCATGTCTGTCACCTTGCCACACACGGTCATTTTCCCAGCAGAGAAGTCCAGCTGAGCCTGCAGACGTTGCAATGTCGGATGTCCCAGAAGCAACGGAGCGCTTCCGGCAATCACTGCAGCGTCGATGATGCCATATTGGGAACCAATGCCAACAGGAATTCGAGCAGCCTCAGTTGACGTTTCCACTGCACCGTTGCCGAAGCGAAAGGTGTTCTCTGTGGCATAACGGACAGGCTTGGCATAGCCCTTGTCAACAATCATGCTCTCCAACTGCTGCAATGTACTGCGTCCGATCAATGTACGACCGCACCCCGAATCAACAATGCCGTACCCCGGCGACGAAATCAGGGATGCATGCAAGCTCTCTGTGGCAGACAAACACTCAGTCATTCCAACAAAGGCCGGCACGAGAGTGTCACTTGAAGTGGCTTCCACATAGCTGACCCCAGTCGTTGGAGAAGGCTTGATTGTCTCCTTGCACTCTTTCTGCCAGTGACCAATCTTGCCGCATCGGCGGCACTTGGTACGTTTCTTCAGCTCCTCAACCTGTACTCGAAACTGTCGTCGAGCCGTGCCAGTTGTCGAGGATGAAGAGACCGACCCAAACTGTCGTGACTGTTGGACCTTCGCAATCTCCTTGCGTCTCTCCTTCCAGCTCACCGCCAAGGCCTCGGCTGCTTCACTTTCTGAAAGCACCAGATCATCGTGAAAACTGGGTTCAACATCATGATCAGCCAAAAAGGCCTCGACATCCTGGAACTGGTTGTCCTCTTCTTCAGCAGGAAGGGCATCTTCACCTGTGACCAGTTCAGCTTGGAACACGGAGGCACTCTTCTTGCGAGCTGCAGAGGCTTTATACAGTGGAAAGCACGAACGAAGAGCGGCCGAGACCGCATCATGATCTAAGCTGCCCTGTGTCTTGGCCTTCACGATGGCCTTTTGCTCTTCATTCAATCCAGCACAATGCAAGGCGACCCAGCCTCGAGCGGCTGGAGGGAACTCCACTGATGCTTTGCGTTTGCAAATGTCAAAGGTCTCTTTGACCCTTGCGGCCCACACCTTCATGGACTCTCCTTCTGCGGCCACCAGGCCGAACACATCCCCCAACACTTCTCCCATCACATCATGCTGTTCCTTCTCTGTCTGGGAACCGATCGCTGAGGGTCTCCCACAGCATTCGCTCGCCGTCTGCGGTGGCGAGCTCTGTCAACGAAAGATGCTCCACAGCATCCCATGCTTTGCCGTCGAGGAGTGTCAACAGCCATGGTCCCCTGGACTCTTTCTTGAAATCCTTAAATGTCATCATTTTGGCCAGAGCCCAGGTCCTCCATTTCTTCAGCTGTTTACCAGGATCCTCTTCTTCGCCACCGAACCTCTTCAGACCTTGGTCTGAAGATGACGCCATGTCGCCGTGACCAGCCGCGGTCACTCTATTGCCCCGGGTGGGGCTCCGCTACCAATGTAGCAGCGGTAGCCCCACCCGGGGCATCGCACCGGCGCCCATTTTATGCCTGAGCAATCGGGTTCCTGCGGTTCATACGGCCATGTCACGATTCACATTAGTATAGATTATATTTTTTTATAATATATGCGTACAGGTATAGGCTCAGTTTGTTCTTGGGCCATTGAGAACGGGATCTTGCAGCGATAACGGAATCGATGAGAAGCTATTGCCATTAAATGTACCTTCAGAAAAGCGCGGGCCATGTCGAGCTTTTTTGCGTCCAAGTACCAGTGTATTTTGCGCAGAAGTACGTTGTGCTGCGCTTGTTCTGAGGTCGAATGCTGTCGACAGCCACTCGGTGCCAAGTGAGTAGCGGAGATGGATGAGCCCGGAATGCCAAAATGGACTGGGAAAAGAATGGAACAGACACATGCCGTGGGCATGAACATGTATGAACTGACCCTTTTCAAGCCATGTCCGCAACCAACCTCTTCTGACTTTCTGGTGTTTACCTGCACCGCGGCACCGTATGACATGTCACCGTGGTGACGTTAAGCCGAGGGGACTTCCTGGAGACCAGTTTTCCCTTGAAGCTATAGAGTCTTCGTCTTCTGTGAACCAGGAAACCACATCGTCTTCTGTTTGTTTGCTGCTTGCTTGACTGCTTGACCACATTCTTATTTCATCTACAGGCTTCAGCGCGGTTTTCAGCGAGAATGAATCGGAAGAATCAACCAAACACACGCATCTTCTCTCCTGTGCGCCGAATTCGGTCCCTTCGTGTTCTCCCTCCGCAAAACCAACCACCCCACGTCATCAGGTGACGTCGACAGCCTCGATGGACAAGAGCAAAGAGTCTCAGGAGCTGGCGAGAGGGGCGACCTTTAAGTCAGGCCGAGGGGGTGACAGGTCAAGCCTCAGAAGAGCGGCAGACGGTGCGGAGCTGGCGCCCTCGGTTGAGTCTAGCACCGGAAGTCAGACGGTGCCCAGTCAAAAACAAGAGCCGTAAAAAAAAGGTGAATCAGATGAAAGTTATGTAGAGACAAGTTACAGTCACAGTATTGATCAGTATTGGCTTGGTGAGGATTATGTATGGCAGTGGTGAGGATCTCCAATGGCGCCAATGGCCATGTCCGAAAAGGCTTCGTCCAGGTGTGCAGGCCTTGCAGGCTGAGGGGAGTGGGTCTTATGAGGAATCACGCCCAAAGCCACGATTTCGATCCTCCTTTTCCTTCAGCACCTTTCGAGGGTGTCTACGGTGTCTACCATGTTGAGAAAAAGAGGGAGGGAGGGAGGGAGGGAGAGAGAGAGAGAGAGAGACAGACAGGGCAACAAATTGAATCTGGGGTGTCTATGAACATAGACCCCAAGGAAGAAGGAATAGTAGATCAGTCTTCTACCATTGGGCCAGGGGACTCAGGGGAATCTCCCTATTCAAACACTACACCCATCTGGTCTTGAAACCACGCAATCCTTGGACCTTCCTGTGAGCTTGTCCAGACACGTTCCTTCAAGGAGCGTGGCATCACCCTCGACCTGGGCTTCTCGTCGTTTTCCACCGATGCGCCGGAGCATATCCAGGACAGGGATCTGAGGTTCCTTTCTTGGAAGGACCTGCGAGTTCTGGGTTCTTGTGACATCTTTCTGGTAGCCAGATCTTTAGTGCTGGCTGATGACAGAGTAGATGGCTGACATTGGTTCCTCCAAGTCGCAGCTTGCCGTGCTATTCCCTGCACCCCCCCGTTTCAAACCGCATGTCACACACCACCTGCTCGGCATAGAACACCCGTCTCCGGATCCAATGCCGATGCCACGTGCCAGGCTGCAGGCTATGATGCCATCCAGTGGCCTGGTTTGGCAGATTGCGGTGGATTTGATTCTTTCCTGTTTTTTTCCTCCTATCGGTCCCTGTATAGGTCCTATATAGGTCCTATATGGGCCTATGGGTGAATCCCCGAACCTGGAAAAAGTGAGTTTGTGTGTTCTTTTCTGGCGTCCAGGCGGTGTTGAACGTTCGGAAAATTCCCCAGGTGGAAGATGGACAATTACCCAGAATCCAGATCAGGTGGATTTTCCCGTCCGAACTCAGCCAATCCAAGGTGGTGTTTGGTGGACTGTCCAGGCCATGCATCTCTCATCCGCACCGTCATAGGCGGCAGGGGTCTCCCGCGTCGTGGTTTGGTGCGAAGGCAGGTGGAGGATGTGTGAAGGAGTGAATTGTCTTTGGTTGGGTTTTTGAAGGAGTTGTTCATGGAGAATTGGAGAAAGCGAACGAAGAAGCCATGGATGGTGTTTCTGGAAAAAGCAGCGTGATTCATGTCCGCGACAGGTTCAGCAATTATTCGGCCATGTGTTCCAAGCAGAGGTGAAGCAGAAGGGGAATGCGTTGCATCTGTGGCAGGTGGTGCCCAGATCATTGATCTTTGTGCTTTGGTCATTGATGTGAACAAGGCCTGGTTCTGGATCTTCAGGGAACAAAGCTGGTTGAAAAAGCCATTATAGCTGAGGGATCGTGGTTACTTCTGAAAGAAGTCAAATTTAGGTCAGTCATTAGATGTCATACGATGTCATTAGATTCACAGGGCAGTTCTTGGTGGTTTTCATTTGAGTGCTGTGGTTTGAAGGGCATTCGGTCTACAAAGGGAGCTTCAGGCAGAAACCAGCCTAGCTTATACTATAAGACACCCTGCCCCGAGCACTCTTGTTTCTGGCAGACCCAGTGCCAAAGTAAAGTTCATGGCCATGTAAAAGTCTTAAAAATCCGCCCTGAGAGCCTTCTGTCCTTCTGTCCATGTCGCTGAGAGCCTTCTGGCGCTTCGTTTCGGGCTCCCCCAAACCTCCGGAAAGACCGTCTCCCACCCCGCTTGAACCATCCGGTTTCCCCCACACCCAGCGTCTGACGACGGCCGAATGCATGGTCGTGGCCGCGGCCGTCGTCAGGGGATCCAGACCCAGACGGCCGAATGCATGGTCGTGGCGGAAATCCTGGCCAACCAACTTGCGGCCCGGAGCGGCGTGAAGGGGACAGCCATGGTCGGGGGCGGAGGGGAGGGTGGAGGGGAATGGGAGTCGTCTTTATAAGATCCACAGAACTTAAGTGAGAAGGGTGGTAGGGCTTGGTAGGGGAAGGGCAGTTCCAAGATTGTTGGAGATATGCATCGATGCCGACACAACTGAGGTAGTCATCCTCAACAAGATTGACATGCTTCCTGCGGAGCCTAGGCAATGCCTGGTTGAAACGTGCCAGCCGGATTTCAACACCAGTATTCTCCAGTCATGGTAGTAGAATTATCCATCAAAGTATATCAAAGTTATTTTACAGTTTCAGGCCAAAAATCAATTCGACAGACACGGAAGCCTTCTACTGAATGCATGAAATTTCGAGGAAAAGCGCAAGAAGATTCTCGACAAAGTCATCAAAGAGCTGCGAAAAGCCCAAGCCTGAGAAAGGTCGCACACTGTCTTTGCCCTGGAACAACCCAGACTTGGAAGGGTACACTCAAGATTGACTCAAGATCAAGACTTCCTAGCAAGACCCCATGTTGGAGCGGCTTTTCAGATGTATTTGTTTGTTTTCCTGTTGTGAACTGTAAACTACTGTAGATCCCAAAAGCATCATTTTTGATTCACCAACCTGTTGAATTGCGTATGAATTCCACCCACTTGTATCCACCGAAGATAGAGACGGGGACTTGGGTCTAGAGTCATGCTCTTTTGGGGATCAAGAAAAGCGTTGCCTTACATAAGAGCCTTATATTTACCTTATTATGTACCTTAGAAGTTCATTTCGGCTATATATATAATTATATATATATTATATATTATATATATATTTGCTCATTGAAGTAAAGGAACTTCCTTAGGGGGTCACCTAAAGACCATTTGTAAAATAGTCTTGGACTCCCAGGGTATAATATGTCTTGAATTCCTTTATCACCAAAGGTGAAATTCCATAGGATTCATAGTATGTACAGGTGTATCGAGCTTTTCAAGTTTGCTTGCCAGATAGTTTAATGATTCTGACGGCAATGTTGAACAACATGCCAACTTGCTGGTTGATTGGTTGGTTGGTTGGTTGGTTGGTTGGGGTGCTTTCACCATTCTGAGAGAGACGCAATATTTTTCCTTTGCAGCATCCTAATGTCCACACCATGTTCTCATGGATCCCTGTCTTTCGCATGGACGTGCCATCGGTTTGACCGTCTTTCAGTGCCAAGAAGCGCCCCACCAGGGGTTTTGGAAGTGAAACATGATCGTCCCCAAGACGATCATGTTTCTCCCCCAAAAAGGGATTCGCCCAGTTTCTGTGATTGTTTGAGACAGGGTATCACTCCGGCTGAGACCTTCGCGCGGACGAAGTTCGGGGAGGACCTGCCCTTTGCATGTATCTCAGCACACCCCCAGGCGGAGTTGCGGATGTGGGTTTGGGCGATTTTGGATCAGAACTTGCAACGAATTACAGGATAGGTAGTTGGTTAGCAGGGTATCGTTTCCAGCCTCCAAACTCGTGTCCTTGAGCAAACATGTGTTTCACTATTTGTGGTGCTTTATCTCAGCGTGTGTGTGTGTGTGTGGGTAACCTGGCCGCGACCCCCGACCCGGGTCCAGTTTCAGGCTTCAGAACTGAACTGTGTTTGACAGACGGAGGAGCTCACGATTTGTTTGGAGTCTGAGCACAAAGATGCACAAAAAACATTAAGTTGCACAAGCAATTCCCAGACATGTATGCCACATATGCCTACATTGGGGTGGTTTGGGGGTCAATGTTGGCATATATTCCATACATGGAGTGCATGGGATAGGTTTGCAAGGCCCTTTTGACAGACACTGTTTTGTCGGAGATTGTTTCAGCCGTTTCTAGAATTCACGGCCAGGTCTGTCTAGACAAACAGTTGGTGCGAGTGTCAAGCAGCCAACCGTGTAGCGGATTTGTGCACGTTGCTTGATGCTCTTCTCTTGGGCATTCGCAAAGCGTTCTTGGGTTCTGTGACGCTTCGGGGGACTATGGCATTGTGGATAGGTTCAGGGTAGAGGAGTTGGATGTTTCATTGATGGGTGGGTTGGAAAACCTCTTCTGCAGATGTCATATGGTCAAAACCACTTGGTAAGTAAAAAATATCTTTGGAGAACTCCAACCTGAGCCTCCTCAGCAGCCTCCAAACCTCAGTCACCCAAGATCCAATGCGACCCTGAGCCAATGCCAGAACACAGGGCAGCCAACGTCATTCAACTCCTGCTGAAAGTCACGCGCCTTACCCTCTCCAAAGAATTATAGACCCAGACAATCTGACGGAAGTAAGAAGAAGGCTTGGCAGAAGGCTTGTCTCGTTGGTCAATGTGTGGTTTGGAGAGGGTTTTGTTGCTCCTCCAGTAACTGGACTCCAGCGAGTTTTGTCCAAAATCTGGGAAGCTTACGGGGTTGATGGCGCAAGAAGGTAGCTCCATGAAGCTTCTATTTCCCCATCAATCATCCTTTCTAGGATTTCCCAACTGCAGTAATGTTTTTACATCAAGATTATTTATATACAATTCAAATATACACATGCAAAGTACACAAACTGTATTAAATCCATTATCTATGATTCTACATGAATGTAGTTTGAACATAATTTACAAACTATATAATATTAATTTAAATACACTAAATATACAAAATACCCATATCAGCAATTTTAGCAACATTTGTTTGAGGTGGCCCTTCCCTTGCCAGGATGGTGCTGCGCCCTTGGGTGCCGATGATCTCATCAATGTTCAGATGCCCAGCCAGATAAAGGACACGCGAAGAGATGGTTCATTTGTCTTTGCGAACTTGTTCGGGAAATGTCCATTCAGTTGAAGAGAAATCTCTGAAGAAAGCAGAGCAACACTTGAATCCAGGAGAGTCATCAGGACATATCAGGACTAAAGTATGTACGGGCGTGTGTAAGAAGATCTGTCTCTGGAAGATCACTTCAGGCTGCAGGTGCTCCGGGATTGGGATTGCTTAGACTGATCGAACTCAGGGTCCGAAGAATAGGAGCTCAAGAAGAGCATCTGGGATCCGAGTTCACATTGTTTTGCAAAGGGCCAGGGTTGGACTCGTGCTGAAAACAAGCTGATTCATTGGTCCCGGCGTCGTAGAAATCGGGACTTCGTTGTGCAAAATGCTTGGCGAAGAAGGGAGATGGATGCATGTCTAGATCGGCGGTGCTCATCGCACTGCGTTATTTGCTTGGAAATGGGCCTGTTTATCAAATCCAGATATTGTTCCGCTCATGATGTCAACCCAGATGTCCTTTCACCACTTGTTACGAGTTTTGTGAGGCTCTGAGTACATATAGAGAATACCATACCCGACCCATGAATTTGACCTCGCAAGATGTGATTGCAGTGCTCGGTGCCCTCAGGTGATTAAGAACACCCTTGCGATACCTCAACGAGACCCATCTGGGCCCTTCATGCAGCTCAGCTCAACTTCCCACCCTCGATTTGCGAAAATCGGGCGAGGCGCATCACCTCTTTCCTTGTCCCGAGGATGGGACATCTGTTCTCCAAAAGTATATTTGTAGATACAAGCTTCTGATGGATTGACACCGCTGAGTCGCCTATGGCAGAACGATGGCCATTGGACCACCCACAGATCCCTCATGATCCCTCCAATTCCCGATGGCACAGACAGATCAGCCTGATCGGTGGGGCCCTCGCCGATGGTTCCCACACGAGGTTTGCCTTTGACCACGCGTTTGCCATCAAAGGTCAAGGAACAGTGCTCACAGGCACGACTGACACACCATGGTGTGCAACGAATCCGAATCCGTCCATCAAGGGTGAAGTTGTTGCGCCCCCTGCGCCGGGAGATTCTCTCGGCCAATTAGGTTGGCTGTAGCATGAAGGGATAGAGGTGTGAAGGTTGATGTTTGTGTTCTACGTACATACAACTCCTATCATTCATTGTATTGCATGCCTTCAAATCCTACTGTTTGCAACCCTAGCTGAAGCAAGGTGCCTTAGTAGATTTAGTAAACACGAGCTTCACCCTTCCTTAAACTAGAGTTTGACACACCAAACAACTACTGAGTAACGACTCTTCCGCATCCAACGATCGACCTGACAAACTGCAGGCGAAACAGGACCACTTCTCGTTCTTCCCGTCCGACCGACCTCGTCGTAGGTACGGTCCTGTCGGGGGCGGTGAAGCCGCAGATGGGCATCGTGGTTCCACAGTTGGGCGAGGCGAGGAGGTCACCGGGTTTGGCGGGTTGAACGGTATACATCCGGGGGTGTGGAAGGTGTGGTAATTCAGGGCAATGACACGTGTAGGGAAGCTGGTATAGGAACTATAAATGTCATAAGTTGCATAGTATTTTGTGGCTCTAAGCTCTATGATGTTCTATCGGGGCCTACACAGGGTACGCTGAGATTTGGTCCTTTGAGTGGGCTTCGCAAGATTCATTGTGATCCCAGAATTCCCCTGGAGGCGATCCCAGTGCAGCTGTTGCAATCCCTCGTCCAACGACGGCCAAGACCACGGGTGCTTCGGACTCTGCACACCTCAAGTCTCTGTGGTACCAGGCATGGAGCCCCGAACGTAGCGTTCTGGCTCCTACTAGTAAGGCCAGGAGCCCCTAGTAGCGATGCTAGGAGCCCCGAACGTAGCGTTCTTGCTCCACCCTCTCCTCAACATTTTGGGAGCCCTCTCCCTATCCACCCTCTCCCCCTCGCGGGTCGCCGGTCGCCCGACCCCGCGGTCGTGGCACACCTGGAGGCGGGGAAAGGAAAGAAGGTCCGCAGTCTCCAGTGCCTCGGCGGGTTCCAGCTGCCTCGAGCGGCAGAAAAGGACGCCATTGGACCCAAGGAACCTAAGCCAATGGCCATCATCACAATGCATTTGTCGGGTCAATCACTGTCAATCACTCCCCCAGAGAATTGCTGAACATCAAAAGGGGACGGAGAGAGCACACAGAGCACACGATGACGGAGGACGGAACTTCAGATGGGGCCCACTGGGCTTGGACCATCCAAGAGGTGTATTCGGAGTATCCCAAAGCCACCGGGCTTGGAAGGTCCTGGTCGATGTTGAATGTTTTTCTCAAGATCTCAGGATGTTCCGGCAGCCTGTGCAAGAAGCTATCCAAGGTGGGGGGGATTGTGTCTGTCATGAGAGGGATTGATTAGCCTGTCTCCTTGGGCCTCCTCACAGGGTTCGAGGAGTTTGTTTCATTTTGTCTCGTTGGCCGGATGAAAAGAAGAACAAAATATATAAGTGGGCTCTATGTTGTTTCTTGTTTTAAGCATGTTTTAGCCGTTCAACCATGTTCAACCAATCTTCCAACGATTTTAGCACATTTAGCAGCATGAGAGGGTTTGGTAGACATAGTTATTCATCATTGGTTTTGTCCCGTACTGTAATTATCCATGCCTGATGCATTTTCTCAGGATATCTCAGGATACAAGGATTCAATTGAATACTTAATCCGGTCGCTGGTGGACTAGACGAAAGAGCTGCCGGGATCCTTTTTGCAAAACCGTTTCCCAAGCGTCCATGATCTGTGGTGTTTCTGAAACCTTAAGAGACAAACAATCATAGGATTCCGATGGATTCACGGATACAGATCTGCAGGATGCATCTTTTGAACATGGTACCGTTCGAAGGCGATTTCTGTTTTTCCAAGGCGGACCTGACGTCGAAGCGACGGGAAAACGCAGGTGATCGCGTTGCCATGTGCGTGGCCGCTTTGGATGCCAAGGCGGGAGGATTTTTTTCGGTGTCCAACGGTGGTGCCATGCTGGATCCGCGTTGGAAGCTATGCCGGCCATGTAACCACATGGAAGTGCGGAAGTGCGGCAGAAGAGTGAACAGATGTCAGACCAAGTCCGATTTCTAGTATAGACCTGGGTCCCCTCTCTTCTGACTTGGCGGAGAGGTCGGATCCTGCCGCAGGAGGGATTTTGGAGTTGCGAGACTGTGAAGAACTAGACTATGTTATACATAATGTAATAATATCTATTTAGACATATTATAACTAATTTTGTAATACACAAAGGGTGACCATTCGAGCTAGGCTTTTGTGTACATCCGCACTGGTGCTTGGTAAGACTCCCAAACCTTCCATGGTGAGTGGACCAAAACATTCATCAGCCACTTTTGTGAAGAGGACATAGCCCAAGGAGATCCAAGAACCATGAGTACCTCGAGAGAGGGCGAGCACTCAGGAGCTGGAACGTGGCATCGTCCTAGGGGAGAAGTTCCCTGTTCCCATGCTAGTGCCTTGGGATCGATTTTGAGACTCAGACGTCCTGGGCTCCATAAGCATCTGGATGAGAAGTCACATGCTTTTGCCATGCCTCGAAGTTTGGAGCACTAGGAGGAAGCAGGCATTCACACGTTCTGTTCATTGTAGCTGTGGGTCGAAGCGTTGTGGGTCCAAAACCACAAAATCGGCCTCGAGGAAGAGGACAGGCCCAAATCCCAAAATGTTGATTTTCTAGGAGTTTCCTGGCACATGTTCACTACTCGTCAGATTGTTTCAGCTGGTCTTTTGACTGAACCGAGCTGCTTCGTGCTTTTTGTTCCTTCGTTTCGTTGTTTGAAGCGAAAAAACACAACGGCAAGATCACGGTGTCGAGGTGGGTCTTCCGGTCAATTCTTGCCTGTTGAGTTACCCACATGGACTCCAGATTCGATGGCAAGAGGTGTTTCACTTGCTATACGCTTGTAAAATTCACCAATTTGATCAGGCCCTGGCTTGAAAAGAAACACACCACACAATCAAATCGTCAGATGCTTGATGAGGTCCAAGTTCTTGATGTAGCCCTAGCTTATCGCATGTCGACATGCATCATCGGATCGAATTGATTAGTTTTTGCAGTAAATGACAGTAGTTATGACAGTATATGCCTATTATATATAGTGTAAAAGAGCCCACACGTGGTTTCTTTTATATAGACGGTCAGCACTAAGAGCCGAGCCCTCCATCCCTCTCAGGATGCTGCTGTATGTGTAGTTGACAAGATCAGCTACTTCAAAAGATTCTTGGCAGAACAGCTCAGAAGGCAGAACACACTTCACTTGCTTCACGTGTGGCCCAGTATGGCCAAGCGTGGGTGTGTCCTCTTCCGCGGAACGACACTACGTGACTACGTACTCCTCATTTGTTGAGCGTGTACTTCATGTCGAGTGTGGAACGGGCGATGTGGAGACAGACCAACGTACGAGGGAGCAAGACACCTGGTCCTCAAGGTGGGTGAAGCATCCTTCCACCAAGCATTCGCAATTCATAATCATTCCATCATCCTTGTGCCATCCATCTATGCCGTCTCGGTGTTTTCCCATGTTTTATCCAGAACATCTCCCTCTGGAAGTGTGAAGTTCACCCCACCTGTTTGTAGAGAATTCTAGAGACACATGGCCATGGTCTTCCAAGGGCCTACTTTCGACTTCCGATGATCATTTCAGGGGCGAGCGTCTATCTGCGATTACACATGGCATGTGTCTACCACCCGCGAGCCTTGCTCCCACGTGGAACCTGATATATGGGACCTGATACCTGTTTACTTGTTTTTAAGAACCGTATATGTAAAAAACGATACCGTATGGCTGGTTTGGTGCAGATGGGACAAGGCAAAAGATAGGACTACTACTCTCAAAGGCAAAGGCTTTGTAGCCATGACCACTATACTACTGGTTCAAAAGGCACTTGATACTCACTTTCTTCTTCCAAAAGTAGGACCTCCTAGGGACTAGCAGTTTGTTCGCAGGTGTGGTGAACACCAAGTCGAAGTTTCATGTGACTTTGGGTCATCAAACCGCCGAGGACTCAGGTTGGCTCAGCAAAACGCAAGAAACATCAAGACTGAGAGACTTTGGAATCCGACCATTTTATACATTACATGAAAGGGAGATATATTAAATCATTGTTGTGGTGGAATAGGTGGGCAAAATAGGGAAAATGTGAGCATATTTTAGATGTTATTGACCAAGTGACATGCAGGTGTAGTGTCATCACTCCCAAAACCTATTATTTGCTTTAAACGAGATATCGCTTGGGCCCCTTCAGGTCCTGCAGGGTCGGAACCAACCCGGTGAGACTCACCGAGAAGGATGGGACTTGAGGCAGATGGCGGGATTTGACTCCCAAAGGTCTGAGGAACACCGACAGCAACTCGAGAAAGAAGACATCGAAGAAGCAGAATCCGAAAGAAATCCTCCATCCCCGGAGACCCGGCGAAGAGAAAAGGAGAACTGGCCGGCCCCGGTCATTGACCCAAGGAGTGGTCCACAGTCCACTGCGTGGTTCAGGTCATGGCCACAGCCCACTTCTTTTGCCCCTTCCCGGGGTCCAGCAGCTCAAGCTCCGCACCTGGGGCAAGGCGGGGAGAATTTCGGATATGACAAGACTGTACATGCTACCGCATGCATGTAGATGACAATAACAACATGACGACATGAAGCCAATGCTGTCTGCGAATTGGATGCGCCCATTTGGGACATCTTATCTTTTTGGTTTTAGAGGCTTTTTGCTGGAACGGCCAAGCTGAGAAGGAAGGTGTTGCTGTGAATGCGCAGCTTCCTTCGTTCGATCGCGCCAATGTTCACGCGCCAAGTTCTTTGGATCTCTTGAGCTGTTTTTGAGAGCGGGTCCCAATCCAGGACAAATACCCGACCTACTGGAACACCCAACCGACTGTTTATTTTTGCTCTCCTCGTTCCGAGGTAGTGCATGTGTTTCTTAAATTAGAATCCCTTTGTGAGGGGGGGCGAAGAGTTGGTGCAAGAACCTCGCTTCCACCAGCTCTCAGGAAGGAGACAGCTCCGAAAGCCAAGACGGAGACCAAAGGCTATCCAGGCTTGGACTGTGGGGGGATGTCGTGGGAAAGTCATGCATTCAACTCAACCCATCAAAAGGCAGTAACAACATCCAACAACGTTTCAAGTGACTGACTCAAGTGTGCTCTCTTGCTCAAGTTTGACTCATTTGCAAAAAAGAACGGCCCCAAGTCACCTCTAATGAAAGAGAACATAGATGAACGACACCTACCCAGTCAGTGGATGACCCACAAAATACCTTTCTGTCAAGATTCCTTTGCGCACTAAACACCTCAAACCTAGGGCCGTGGCCGTCCATCGTTGAACGTCCATCGTTGAACACCCATCGGCCGAAATTGAATCCGCGCAGACGTTGAACCACGAGTTTTCACATAGCCTGAATCCCGAACAACCATGGTTTCACTAAGAGCTGTCTAAGACCAGAGCCATTTAAGACTGGTCTTGAACATCCAGGGTGTTTTTATGTTGGAAATCTCTTTTAGTATGGGGGGAGCCGATGAAGAATCTTACTTCGCGGATCTTCGCTGAATGTCACCGAATCGCTGAAACGTACGTTGCTTGACCGTCATGCTTCCTTGACCGTCCGGTCGTCGTTCTGACGTCCAACGTCAAGACACATCATGTACGCTTGGTTGAACCGCTGGGTGCGTCCAAACGATGCTGAACTGCTCGGTTTCCCAACAACTCAGCTGCATTTAACCGGGCGACCGTATGAGAATCACGTGTTTCCGAGAGTCAGAGATGCTCGAAATCATCCATGGGTGCCTATGGCATGACTAGAAGTTACATAATTACCAGGATCGTTCAACAGGCTGTTCCGAAAGGGGTCTTTGGGCACCTGTGATCATCAGGAAGCAGCTGTTGGAGGATCCAGGTATAGACCATCCATTTCGAGTATGAGTGAACGGGGAATTGCTCCCAAGCCGCCTTCCGGGTTGCTCTTCCCGTGTTTGCCCGAGTCGCCGGCATCCTCGCTCGTTGGCCAGAGGCTCCAAGGGCCCCACCCTTGCCATGGGTTTGGAGCTCGGATCAGCTCCCTGAGAGTTTTTTTTGGTGGGCCAAGCTATGCAACCTTTGAAGAAATGGAGGTCAGCTATGCTCCCATGCTGAGCTGAAGGTGTAGGTAGGAAGGTGTACAGTGACTCTGACGGTTGAAATAGGAGCACAATAGAGTGTTTTGTTTGATGCCAATATGACACTGTCTCGCACCTGCTGTTTTGGGGCTAGCCCAAAGCATGTGTCTATTTTTGGATATGCACCTGCCATGGCTGAAGCAGATTCTAGATCCGAACTCTTCAAATATGTCGTTGGGTACACATCTTTGATAGAGAGGGAACACGAAGGCCATTGGCCAAAACTGAAGGCTTGGGATCGCCAAGCCGCTTAGGAGCATGAAAGGAGCCTGTTTTTTGGGTTTCTCTACTCGAAGAGGGCCACAGGATGTCCTTCTTGTGGGTCAACAATGGAACATTGCATGACCAATCTGGTCACCAATGGTATCCAATTGTGTTGCAAATTCATTGATTCGATTCGAGTCAAACTCACATGGAAGTGGAAAAACCACGACCACCACCTGTTTCTAGAGAAGCAATCTTCATCAATCTTCCACAAACCCATGATGATCAGGCATGCGTCTACCTATTCCAGGCATGCGTCTACCACCCTGAAGTCTACCTGCGTCTCCGCCGAGGCTGTGGTGCCGCCGTTTCGGAGAGGTGCGGAAGAAAACGGAACGACTGGTGGGGTGGTTCGGCCGTTTGACCCAGAAACCCACCCGGAGATTGGAAAAGGACGGAAAAGGATCTCTTTTTCTCGGATGGAACGATGAACACCAAAGCACCTGCGCAGCACATGTGGGAAGTTACACATGAGAGTTCTCGGTTTCCATCCACTTGAGAGTTCTCGGATTTGGAAGGTCCAGGAAGGACCATTGCAATGTTTGCCCTCTTTCCTCTGACTTCTCTCACACAGAAGACCCGCTGGTCGGACATTCGGTGCGCAGAAGCGCTTCTGTTCTGCACCATTTGGATTTTAATATCCAACCTTATTACCGGGGCGATTCCAACACTAAAATAAGGTGTATTTTTGTTTCCCCGGTAATACCCGGCAATAAGGGAGTATCTTTGGAATTACCGGAGTATCTTATTGGTGCGACGACCCAAAACTCCGTTTTTGACACGCATGAGTCGAGGCAAAACAAGTGGCCAACGAGCTTCGACTTCTCTCAGAGCTATTTACACGTGGATGAGCTTTGGCAGTTGGGATCTCAGAGGTCGATGAGCGCTGGGAGCGGGTCTCCTCACCTCCACCATGTCTGGAAGTGTTGCAGAAGCCTTCTAAGATCCTTGTTACTACAGTATACTATAGTAGCTTCTTGTTCCTAGTAGCGATGGCCTCCAACCTAATAGGGATGGTCTCCACCGTGCGTAGCTTCTTGTTCCTACGGGTTAAGAAAGCGGGGTATGTAACGATATTTGTCAGGCAACTTTTACCGCTTGAGAGAACAGCCACGAACGCAGAGACAGAACGTGTTGGTTCCTCATTGTCTCGTTGTCTCGTTTGTCGGAATCATCTCCGCAGGGACAGGTTCTGCTTGTTTCGTGCCTTCGCCACATTGGCTCCGCAAAACAACTGTCAGGCCCAGTTTAGACTTAGACAGAGATGGCTTAGTGCCAACACAGGATGCCTTCTTACTTGGGCTTGAGAGGAACCTGTAGGAACAATGCATTTTGCCTTTTCAGAATTCTTCTCTGTTCTCTTTTTTGGGTGGTGATACCCACATGAGGAGGAACACGCAGTACAGAGTATGTACAGCAAGCACATTTGGCTTCCTTCAAATATATGTTCCGCTTGATTTCTCGGGAGCTAGAGACTAGAGATCGAGAAAACCAGCAGCCGGTCGGGTTTCAGTCGTGGGTGGATGTTTCAGCCTGCATGGCCAGGGAGGAAATCAGTGCTTTAAAACGGTCTCCACCTCTGTTCCCAGGAGAAAAACAGACCCGTCGCCCATCTCCAACGTGTGAGGTCCAATAGCCCGGTGGAGTATGAAAACACCGATGGGGACCTGGTGAAGCTCATCCCGGAGAGTGGGCGGCTACTAGGAATTCAGAAGTGGAGAGACGGCTGGATGAATTCACCCAGTGATACCAAGCGGCAGATTTGTCTTGAATATTTACCACGCAGGCAAGATTTGGGGCTGGTAGTTGGAGGATTTGGTCGGAATGTTCTCGGCTGAGGTGACATCGGAAGACCAGACCTCATGACTGTCAGGCCCCCTACCATGTTTTACAGCTGTGTTCCTTGTGCACCACACGCATGCCCCCCATGCCCCCTACATTGTGCTTCCAGCATTCATAAACATGCGTAAGCCACATGCGTCAACGTGACCAGCCAGCCTCCGACCACGTGTTTTTACTGTCTTCACCGCGCGTACGAGGCTACTCTTCGAGCTGAATGGCATCAGCAAGGGCGAGGTCAACGAACTCAGGCCGGGCAGCAGCCAGCAATCCACGTACATCCCCAAAACGGCCCCATGGCGAGGTCAGGAAGTTTGTCCATCACTTTTTGGACCTACCCAGTCAATGGATAACCTTTGACCTTTCTTGGGAATTGGTTTCCCTACTAAACAAGACCAGGTGGCAAGAGTTAAGTTCTACTCTAGAGGGAAACTGAAGGAATCAGTGGATGTTCACCTGGAGCATCCTGAGACTTGTCGTTCAAGAGAGCATCTTTCTGGACAGTTTCCGATGTCTTTCTGGACAGTTGGGGTGAGAAACCATTTTCGATCCTTTTTTGCGTCCCTCTTGGCAAAGCTTGGTCCGGCTGGGGAATGAACTGGTAGACATGTGTCTATGACAATGACTGTATGGCAGATCTTCCTTTGACCAGAAAGATATGTTCCAGATGCTGTGAAGAACGGCAGCTTTCTGCGGTACCAAGCTCCGCCGCTCGCTTGGTAGCTCGCAAGTTGTTCGTCGCAAGGTATGATCCTCCAAGTGGACAACTTCTGCAGCAAGAGGGTTTGCCATTGGGTTCATCGTTGCTTGGTTGAACGCGGTGTGATCGAGAAGAGGCATGAAAAACCAGTCAAGAGGAAGAAACTGAAGCAGTCTTTGATGCGAGAGAGTGAAAGAAGGGAGAGTCTTACAAGATCTTACAAGGTAAACCTTGGAAGAGAAACTACAAGCTTATAGTATGGTCAGAAACTGCAGCTTGGGCCTTTGTTCCCGAAACTGCAAGTCACACCCATCGTTCATGTTGCTTCGGAATGGACAGATGTGCCAGATTCAATGAGTTTTTTTTTCACTGACAGCGAGAACCCCATTACGTATCGTTCATTCTTGGCTCTCTCGGTCGAGACATTCCACCAATTCCTGGCTCTTGGAGCCAAGCTCTGTCTTCAGCTGGGAGATGCTGGGAGTGAACGTGGAATCAACGAGTGCTTTCAGCCCTTCGTCCGTCTTCTGGGGCGGACGAAGTTGTCAGGTTCAACGCTTGGTATGTGGTGCTTGATATACCGGAGACGAAGGATATAAGAGTTAAAGTAAGAGTTATAGAATATGTTGTCCTTTAAAAAACCAATGAAATACCTGTCCTTTTTTGTCTCCGGAAATGATCTCACCATATCAATTGCCCCCTTTGGCATCCTTTTAGCTGGAATTGGTGTTGCCTAAACTAGAGGTGCTTCCATAAACGAAAATCCGCAGAAGAAAACCAAAGGCACTTTCGTCATCGAGTTGAGGTCTCCAATCCAACTCTGCTTGCTTTCACTGAGCTGAGGCTTGACAGTCGAAGCGTGATTCCGCTCAAGGAGAGGATGCGACCAAACGTTTGACGTGCCTTGTGTGGAAAGTCTCAGCCGTGTTCCAACTAGTTTGACCAGCAAATCGGAGGGACATGTCGGACATGGGTCTTCAATCTTCAGTGCCTTTCACGAAAGACATGTGTTTTGGGTATTTGACACGTTGGGTACACGGAGATCCTCGTTTTTCTCCTCCGAACTCACCCTTGGAGTCGTTGGAGTCGGTCCTGTCAGGATCGGGATCGAGTGGTCTACCTCTTGCGCTGGTTGGCCACAAGCTGCGACGTGCCGTTGACTGGAGCTCCTGGTGAACCGGAGGCTGGCGGTGCTATGTGTTGTTTGGGATGCTTCTAAAGGGGGAGGGTGTTGACTGGTTTAAGGCCTTGCACAGGGTGGTGCAGAAGGATTGAGCAAGTATTTGGCTGCAGATCAAGACATGAAGGATGTGGACTTTGTTACAGATAGGTGGATGGTATTATCTATCCTCATGTCACCCAAAATCACGCGAGGGAGCTGTGAAGTCTGAAGTCATTGTAGGGGGCAGGCCTCACCTTGGCTATGCACTGGCTCCGAAGAACTCGAGTTGTGTGCTTGCATACCATAGTGGATGTTCTAGAAGTGCGACATGGGCGTGCCATTTTGAGTGCTGAGCAAGGCCAGCACAAATGCCACTTTCCTTGTTCTAGTATTTCCTAAGGTCTCTTTTGTATGCATTATAACTCTATATATATATATACAGTGGATTGAGAGTAGATGGCACAAAACCAAAAGGTGATTTATATGGATCCCCATCTAAAAGACATCTTGGGGTTTGTGCCATCTACTCTGAAACCACTGTATATATCTATATTAATATATGCCAGGATCATCCAATGGGTGTCGAATAGACTACCCTATCCTACTGACAGGTCTCCAGACAGGGCACCCGTTGGAAGTGCTAGGTGCGTAAAATTGCGTAAAAGTATTATATAGAGAGAGGTTGTTTATCACTTCTGCAAAGCTCCTCCAACAGATCCACCAGATCTTCATTTTGGTCCGAAAACGGGATCCAACTACATCCTCACCAGATCCTCCAAACGCATCGTCCATCCTCACGGCTCTTCGCCCGTCTCTTTCATCTCTTGGGTCACTAGGAACCGCTTTTCTACGTGCTCCTGGTGCTGGAAAAGCCCGTGATGTGCCCATTGGGGTGCCCCGGCCGTTAGTATGGCTCATACGTACCCCTGCCTTCACCCCAGTGGCCTGCTGAGGAGCCTCGTCATCGGCTCGAAGTTGGACTTCGACATCCACAGTCCAGAGCCCAGTTGAAGACACTTAGTCACTTAGTCATTTGAAAGGAGTTACTGTATAAATGTGACTGTGTTGTTTGTAGTTAAATGACTAAGTGTGTTGTTTCAAAGGTAGACTGTGTCATAACAGTTAGTCATCCACAGTTTTAAAGGTAGACTGTGTTGTTTGTGGTTGTGTGGCATCCGAAGATCCATCCATGTGGCTTGGGAGATCTGAGACGCGAGTGTCCTCGAGACACGGCTCGGCGACGACCGAACCGTTCACCGAACCGTTCACCGGCCGTGGCAGTACTGGACGAAGGACAGTGGACTGCATTAATAGAATATATTCATTGTACGCTTTGATGTGCACTGCAGCGGAACATGCCAAACATACTGATCCGGCTGGCAAGTCGGTGACATGAGTGTTCCATCTGCGGACTCGAACGGATGAGTTTTGAAAGGCTTCCGGGACCAGAATGAAACAGTGGTGCCAGATGGGTTTCGCGAAACTGTGCATTGTAAAGGAACTCGCTTTTGCGCCTACGCGGTGTGTGCGACAATCCAAACACCGGATATATATTCAGAGACATGACACACATCCTTTTACTGTAGATGGAAGAGAAGGTTTGAGAACATTAAATGCATCCATGGCAGTAATCCACATGTTCCTTGCATGTGCACCCCATGTTGGCTGTAAGGAAAGATAGGCCAAGCAATGTCCTGCTTTGGTTTTGCGTTGGATTACTTGTACTATATATATATATGCACTTAAGTGTCTTGACTCCTACTGTAGCGATGAACTTGGACTAGTGGTGGCACAGCTTCCAGCTTCTCTCCAATAGGGCCCAGTTGCCCTTGGTCCTCCATCCCTTTCAAGGTACGTATGGCTGGAGTAGATCGGGTATTTGAAGATTGAGACCTTCCAACCATTCTGCAGCTTGGTGTTTGTTCCTTCCAACCCTGGGCGTCATGGACAAATCGTCTCCGAGAGACTGAACACACACAGACACAGCATCTGTAAGAAGCGTTTTCTCCAAGGCCCCAACTGCCGAATGGCCTTCTTTGGGCGGATCTTGAGCAGCCTGGATCCAAAGGACGGCGGCAGACCGGTCCAGGTCGATGGGAGATTCCGGTGATGTGAGGAATGACCACATCCAAGGTTTGAGGGTCGGTCCTCATGCACCCACTACAAGGAGGAGGTCAAGAGGAAGGGGGTCTATCTCCCTTGACTGGATCAGAGGTCCCTCGGTCGCCAGAGATTTGGTGCTTCACTCGTGTGTTTTGAAGGGCACCCACCGTCATCTCTAAATGGGCGTCTCCGCACGGCACGAAAGTCTTCACCCAAGCCCTGCGGGTCTGAGAAGGACTTGAAACAACTTCGCCTGGTGAAGATGAAGTCAAAGGTGGGTGTGATGGAGCGCGTGGACAAGCAGGAGTCAGATGAGTCACCGAGTGAGCTGGATTTGTGGCGAAGATTTGCATGGTGTGATTTTTCATGATTTTTCCGACTGTACGTATCTCTTGACAGATGAAAGGGGTATCCGACCAACAGAACAGGAGTCGCTCTGTGAGTTTCAGGAGTCCACTCTGATCATTTGCAAGGACATGTTCAAAGCAGTCGCTTGGCTCAGTTAGCACACACGGAGAGGATGCAGATCTGGTCAAAATGCTCTCTGGCGGCTAGGGCTCTGCTGTGAACCCTATCGGATTGAGTTCTTCCACCTTTCTGAATGGCGCACTGGGGGGTTTTGAATTCCTGAAAAACATACCGTAAACTCCTTTGGCCTTTGTTTTGTATGATGTAAACCTGAGACTTTTGCTGGCTTTCAGTCACATGTTGACTGTTTGCACACTCAGAGCCTCCTCCATTTGTCCAAGGACTCCGATATTCAGAGCTTCGTGGGGCTGAAGGCAGCGTCGGTTGAGGCTTTGACATCGTTGCTCCTACAAACATCTAATTGTACGTATTGTCTTTACTCTATTTGCCGTAATGCATAGTAGTAGTAGTAGCAGCAGCAGCAGTAGTAGTAGCAGTAGTAGGAGTAGCAGTAGCAGTAGCAGTAGCAGTAGCAGTAGCAGTAGCAGCAGGCAGGCAGGCAGGGAGGCAGGGAGGCAGGGAGGCAGGGAGGCAGGCAGGCAGGCAGGTAGGTAGGTAGGGAGGTAGGGAGGTAGGGAGGTAGGGAGGTATGGAGGTAGGTAGGTAGGTAGGTAGGTAGGTAGGTAGGTAGGTAGGTAGGTAGTATATAAGTTATAAGTCGTAGTACTGAGGGAGATAGGCAGATCCAGGGTGGTTCCTGCCAAGCAGCTCCAATATTCAGGAGTTCTTTGACCATGGCAAACCTGAATTTGAATTGTGTGTGGAAATACATGCGCTTCGCATCTCACTTTTGTCCGTGCAAAGATTGACTGGTGCATCCCGTTGTCCACTTTCTCATTGTGAAGACTTGCAGAGTAGTCATCATTTGCTCACTCCACCCTTTCCCATAGTTTTGGTTCCTTTTCTTTCCTTGCCCCTAGTAGCGTCCTTGCTCCACTAAGTGTCGAACTCGGATCGCTCCAACCCTGCAAGCCGTGTTTCCTTTGCAGATTCTTCACGAATCCTCCGGAGCGGAAGGCGAGAGGGGAGAGCCCGCGGAGGGGTCCGCGGAACGGGGCGGTGCTCGGTGTACTTTGGGCGGCCATGCGCCAGGCGAAACTCCATGACCTGATTTGTGGTGGAAATGAAACCTCCCACTTGTATGCACTCACTTGCGGGCAGGTACGCGTCCACGCAATTCCTTGTGATGTTGTATGACGGGTGTTGGTGGATATGGTCTGTGAGAAGGAGCTAAACGAAAACGGTCCAGTGGAAGGCTATGTACACAACCTGAACTGGATTGTAGAAGCTCTTCATGTGGATGCACTCACAGATTCGATTTCTTTGTCTGGGTCCCTTGTCTTCAAGACGGGTGCCCGTAGGTCGCCTGTGCAATGAGCTACGTAACATCAACCAAATTGGAACACGAACGAGGCAGGTTTTACTCATCAAGAGTCATTAGGGAGCTCAGTTCTGTGATCTGGGTGCAAAGTCTGGGCAGCTCAGACTGAGCATCTCAAGACCCAATGACAAGGCACAAGACGGCAATCCTTCTTTGGCCACATGGTGGATTGTCTAGAGAAGTTCAAACATTATCTGCGCTGCTGCACGGAGACAATAGTTTGACAGGTCTCATTTCTTGCTGTCGTGTCAGGCATCCTGGAAGGCAGCTTCGGGCAAGAGGGACATATCAAAGTCCGCTTCAAGGAGGAGCCGCCTCAGTCCGTCCGCTCACTTACGATGAACAGCTTACCGGTTCGTCGCACATTCGGAACACATGATGAGGGATGGTCAGAATTCACTGTACCTTTATGGGATCAGATGGGCTTGAGCCATCTTGAGCCTGATGACGACATGGGGCGGACGTGCACCCATTGTCAAAGTCACCCAAGCCCTTGGTTGGAGCTATAGTGATGTTATAATATGTTATAGGTCATTGTAATGATGTCATTGTCATATTCAATGGATCTTTTGATGTGAGCGTTTTCAGGAATCTGACTCAGCTCAACTGCCAAGCACCGTCTGCCAAGCACCGACCCCCTGAAGAAAAGCGAGCATTTTGCAATCGAGAAAGTCTTCCAGGAGATTCCGAACCTCAAGTTGGATCCAAAGGGACATATCAAAGGCCATCCGGAGAACTGATCAATCACCAGATCTCGACCCTGCATTTCGTAGAAGAGAGATGAACCTCTCACTCGCTTGGAGCACCAAAGACTTCTTGGGCAAGAGGTGAACGTCGAAACGCACTGACAGTCGCAAGTCCCGTAAACAACTTGCCAGGGCCAAGACTAGGGGGAGTCTTATCGACTTGATGGGATTTATTTATACATGCAATACAATAAATAAATGTCCTAGAAAAGGCAACACTTGCGGCTATAGGTGCAGTGGGATGAGGTAAGTAGTTGACACGACTGATGCGGCTTGGGTGCTTTGGGTTTATACCAAACTAGTGTTCATGCTTTGGTCCTTTGTGTGCCCATGGTTCAAACACAACGGGCACAAAGTGAGCGGCCACTTTGATAGTTTGCGCGCGAGGAAACCCAGCACAATGAGGTTCTTTGGTGGTCCAGTTGGTTCTGTGGATTTAGGCTGCATGGGAAGATGCTCGAGATGAACCCAAGTATGGATGGTGGCATGTGTTTGTCCAGCTCATTCCAACTCATTTGCAGGGACGGAACGCATCTCGCTCTTCTTCAAGAAGTTTGACTTTGAGAAGACCAATAGCATTGTGCAGTAGGACCGTTCATGCGTGGCATTCCTGCTTTTACAACCCTTGTTAGTCCGGTGCTGCCAACCACGGACCATTGGAGCACCATGAAGCATTGTTCGGTAGCCCATCTACTGAGACGATGAAACTCCCACCATCCTGGAGCAGAACAAAGCACACAGTTGGGAAGACAACACAATATCTAGCTCATTGCCTTCGTCTTATGTTTCGTCCTTCATGGTTTCTTTAATTTCACCCTGCATGCCATGCTGCAATGCTGTACAAGCTTGTTGACATTTCAGGATCGTTGCAATTAATAAGTAAATTTCGTGGTAACCAGCTGTCAATTTCAGAGAATCAGCTGTCAAGATTCTGAGTCAAGTGGCATTATTGTAATATATATATATACCATAATTTATAGTTATATATTAATATACTGTATATGAAGAGAGAGAGAGAGAGATCTGTCTGGAGCGGCGAGAGAAGGGCGTTCGCGAGGAGCCGATGCTTGTGCGCTGTCTCCACAGCACCGCACGACGCACCGAAACTCGGCGCAGCTCGGCGTTGGAGCGGCCGGTGACGGGTTCCAGATCCCGACTGTGGATCGTCACATCTGAGGTATACCGGATGGGAAGCTTCCCTGGTGGGCCCCTAAATCCTTTGCGATGTGTTTGACACTTCGCAGCCGGTTCAAGGTTTGCGGATGGGCTATGAGAAGTAACATGCAGCGCTTGTCAACGTGTCAACAACGGGTGGGTGTTCTGAATCATGTGGTAAAAACTGTTTTTGAAGCTTTGTTCAGTCACCAGACTTTCTGTTTACAGTGACTCGGTGACTCCTCTCCAGTGCAACAAATTGCCATTAGGGCACAGGGATGCAAGTTGGGCATGTTCTCGTTCGCCCAGCTCCCAGTGTTTTCCGGGCCAGGTGGGCCAGGCATCACCGTCAGTGACGCTGATGCGACCTCCAGCGGCGACGCTGCATGTCGCGTGCTGCTCGCAGCCAGCGCAGCGGAATCCAAAGATGCGACGGTTAGTGATTTCTGTGGATTCCGATTCCAGTCCAAACATCCTCACCATGAGGTTAGTGAGGTCAGCGAAGTCCTTTTCCTGACCACCTTTGATATCGGGAATGGGGATGAGGGGAATAATCCAAGGCTCATGCGATTCAGCAAGAGAAGATACAGTAATCTTATGTAATCTTTGTGAGAGTTGCGCGAGCCGTGCTCGGTTCCAGGTTCCGTGCGATGCAGCCACTTTGGCTGCCCAACTTGTTGAGCCAGTTGACTAAACTTGAAATGATTAGCAATCATCCTTTCACAGATGTTTTCACGACCTACTATTCTATGTCAGTGGGCCAGTAACCTTCGTTCCGCCCACCACGAGGTGCTGGCCATTCAGAACAAAGCAGCGCATGGCCCGCTTCGTCCCGGCCCTCCAGTGGTTCAAGAACACATAGATCGCGACGTTAGGGCGTCTCTTTTTGCAAGGCGCATAGGGAACACACAATCGCAAATTACCTTGTTATCGCATGTTCTTGCATGCAATGCTATTTGATATTTATTGGCTTCAATGTGAAAGCAACAAACATTTGGATTGGGATTTGGCTATTCTTTAGGACTCCTCTCGTTCTTCTGGCCATGATGGGACAGCAGGAAATTGAATTACACGACGACTGCCACTACATGATAGTGGATGCCGTGACTGCGCAATTGCTAGTGCAGCTGCTTGATTTGTATCCTTGAATTTGTTTGAATCACCTAAAGTGCAATCTTGTTGGGCCAGTGACGAGTGGGCGGAAATTGCAGATTGGCTGAGGCCTTTCAGATTTGCTCGAGCTCCATGCAACTCATGACTCCTCGGCCTCAAACAATGAGCAGCATCACACCCTCACTCTCTTAGTTCATGCACAGTCCAGGTTGGAGTTCTCTTGGTTCACTCCCCGCTTTGGCATTTGGAGAAGCAACGCGACCTCGCGTCCTCTCCGCTGCGGGCGACATCCTTCGGGCGATGGATGCATCGAGTGCCGATGAGAAGGCTTCCCTTGAAAAGAGCTGTCCTGGCAGACTACCTATGGGTGTGCAGACTAACATAGGGACGACACTGCAAAGAAAATGGGGACAGTCCGAAACAGACGGACAGACGATCTTCATTGGTTTGGGAGGTCCCCCCATTCAAACACATGGCTCAGTTGGTCTGTCTCGCCTCAGAGTCCAGGATGAAGTGCAGCCAGCCTGCGAAGACTTGAAGCCTCGCTTCTCAGAGGCTTGCTTCGTGCAAGAAGTGGTCGCAGACATGCCGGTGCTTGGAAGCTGCGAGGTGGGCACCTGTCTTCAAAGGATTTGTGTTTGGGCTCAGTATGGCTTGTGTCCTCGAAAGCCGTGTCGTTGTCTTCGCGGCTTTGGAGTCTCAAAGAGGATGTGATAGGCGGGTTTTAGACATCTTTGGACTCAAGTCGGAGCTCAAAGGCTCTCCCTAGCCTAGCCGCAAAGGCTCTCCGCCAAGGCTCTCTCTTTCACGCCATGTTCGGTGGCTATTCCTGTAGGTGCAGTTTTACTTGTTTTGAACGTCTGAAGAAGTTAGTCCAGGAAATTGCTGCTGACGGCAGATCCATGAGCAAACGCGACTGCCTCAACAGTTGGAAGTGCTTGTTTTCGCACCAAGAGTGCTGAGGTTCATAGGAACTGTTGCAAGTATACTAGTGTTCTATCATAGACCAACAGCTTTGTCATCCCTTGCCTGAAGCCAAAAGGTTCCTCCATGCTAAGGCCAATAAACCAGGAACTAAGTGATGTGCGGTGTGCTGAAGTGTTCAGTTTGCCTGAATTTGATGATGCACGATTCATGATTCTGTTTAGGGATCCTTCGCCAAGCTTCAGTGATACTCAATTGTCTTTTGGACTACTCTTTTTACAAACACAACTTGGTTTCCTTTCCGCCCCGGAAGAAAGCAGGCTTATATATATATATAAAGCATTCGCGAACCATTGCAAATTAAGTAATTTTGTCAAAATCGTACTTTTATGTACACAAAGGAAGGCTATATGCAAGCCTGGATTGTGTGGTTTGCACTCGGCCGTTGTTGGCAGCGCTCTGCCCAAGTCACAGCCTTTGTTAGCATCATTATGTTCTTGATGTTGTTGGCCTTCGTAGTTAAGAAGTTCGACGGGCCTTGCATATTGGCTTTGCTACAGGATCTCTCGCTGACGCACATCCTGCCTACCGTTGTTGTGGCCGAGATCTGAAAAACATGAGTGATCAGTGATCTCCGTGATCTCTCGTGAGGAGTTGCCGTGCAGGACATACAAGATTGATGATTGTGCGCAGTTCACGTTTGTCAGCATGGCAAAGTTTTTCTTCTCTTGTCACTTCGATATGTTCTTGAGCTGTCGCAAGTTCGATTTCATGGGTTGGCAGTGTTTGTGTGTCTATGTTGTGTGCAATGCCCACATGAGGGAGTGAATGTGGACATCCCTTTGTTTCAGCATGCTCGAACTGATACACTTAGGACTTAGGGCCTTGTGTGCTGATTCACACTCAGACGAGGCCTAGCAAATGTGGCTTCGTGAGCATCGCAAAACAACGACATTTGTTCAGGACATGCCGCAACAATTGTGGCCAATTGAAGTGGTGACCCTTCCAAAGATAAACTCAGTGGTCCATCCATCTCCAACCTCCTTACCCTGCCATGCAGGCTTTCATAAATAGTTTCATTCAAGTGATGAGACCTTGTTGCAAGCCATCCATGACTGGTGTCAGAAACTCATCAGAATCTTGGTGGTGTATCCAGGCCTCTATGTTTGGAGCTTGTTCTAAGCCAATCCCAGCCTCGCCTACCCAAAAGGCTCACTGCCTCATAGCGGCCCTCTTTCGTGCACGAAATAGATGCTTAATGACTAGGATTTGCATGTCTTCAGAGGCTTCTGGGTGGGCTTCAAAGGATCTCTGTTGGGCTCAGCATGCCTTGTGTCCTTGAAAGCCGTGCCGTTGCCTTTGCCACGGCTTTTGAGTAGGGACAAATCGACAAAGTTTGGCTTCAAGTACCAGCTCCGACCGAACATTTTTAGCCGCGAAGGCTCCCCGCCAAGCAACTATTCACGTGATGCTCGCTGTCTATTCCTGTGCATCTGAATTAACTTCTTTTGGCACGACTACAGATATTTGTGAACGTCTGAAAAAAATGCTGTGGGTCACAAGGTTACTAGGAGCTTCACTCGCATTCAGTCCAGGAACTTGCTGACGGCAGATCCAGATGAGCAAACATAAACCAGGAACTGAGTGATGTGAGGTGTGCTGAAGTGTTCAGTTTGCCTGAATTTGATGATGCATGATTCAATTTAGGGATCCTTCGCCACGCCTGAGTGACACTCAATGTGTTTTTTTTGTGCAAAGACAATTTGGTTTCCTTTCCCACCAAAGAAGGCAGGCTTATAAAGCATTTGCTAGCCATGGCAAATTACAGTAAGTTTCTTTGTCAACATCTTACTTTTACGTGCGCAGAGGATGGCTAATAGAAGCCTAATTTTCGACGTTTGTAGTTGGTGCTGGTCAACAGCACGTGGCAAAAATTACCCCCATTGGTAACATGATCATGTTGATTGTCGTTGGTTGGGAAGTTCGACGAGGCTTGCATTTTGAGTTCAACATGGTGCGCAAGCAGCAAGGCTGCTATCGGTTGATTTGGTTGGGAAAGATTCTGAATTCTGACATGCTGACCTGTCACAAAGCCTTGAAAGACAAGGGATCAAGCATATTATCATTCTGAAGTATCTAGGACCTTGAAGGTTTGGACATGCAACTTTGTGGAGAATTCGCGAAGGCAGTGCAAGGTGGTATGCCAACGTGCCTGGTAAGATGCTTCTTGTTATTGAGAGACCTTCGATTCTCTCGCTGACGTAGTTCCACTGAGATGGAGCCCCGTTCGGAAGTGCAATCTCTCGTAAGCTCAGTTTGTGGTTTCTTTGCATGGCATGCCGCGGTGAATGCACTGTTGCAAACGCCTTGGAAAATGAGGAGCAGAAGCATATTTTG